ACCCCACCTGTATCCTTCATCTCTCAAGTAAAGCAAGTTTAGGGTGTCTTTTTTTTTTATTTGAGTCAAGTTTGCTAGAGTTCAAAGTTTTTAAGTCGTTGTTTGTAAGTCTTTGTGGGCTCCGAAAATTCGGCCCCTGCCTCCACTCGCTCTTTTTATTCGGCGAGGGAGTTTTAACTGAATAAGTTCCGGGGTAAATTTTGGAAGGCAGATGGGTTTGAAGATAAGACACTATCCAGAGATTTTGCCCTCATTTTGCGAGGACTTTATGATCTGAGTTCTGGTTTCCTATAGGCGCAAGCCCCTATAGTTAATTCCCCCCCCCGATCACGAGAGAGAACTTTCGATTAAGGCTAGTCATCAATCAGATATATAGAATATACGTGTTATCTGGCATATAGTAGCAGCATGGGTATTGAGATTTAGAATGTTTGGAAGTTTGATAATTTGGAAAGGTTTGAAAACTTTTATATTTAAAATAGAAATTGCACCATCTTTCACTTAAAGCGGATGGTGGGGGAATGGATGATGGACCCGATCAAGATCCCATGGTTCCGTCGTCCTGGGCCATCGTGGTCCCTGGTCTACTTAGTCAGAGGAGGTAGTCGACCCAACCTCACAGAAGGATCCTTGTCGGCAGCCATGGGTTGCTTCGTCCAAGGGGACCTTGTAGACCGGGGTTGAATGTTTGTCTAAGGGGACAAATTTAAATCCACCTTAGCTGACAGAGGGCTTCGTTCCCTATCGATCATATACTATTGATTCATATCTCAAGAATTTGATTCCAATAAGGAGCGTATTGGCTCTGGCCATAACCGGTATTTCGTGGTGCCATTTGGCGGCAAAACCACTCGGTTCAGAGGGCCCCGGATCATAACCGTTTACATGCAGTGTCATTTGGCGACAAAACTGCCGGTTAGAGGATACATACCACGTCCTTACTAGCAGAAGACTTTTTGAGAATGGATCATAGTAATATTTTCAACTAGGCATTTAGCTCTTTGTGAGCTGAAGTAAATTTTAATTTGTCCACCTCGGCAAACTGTTGCGGAGGGTGGATGAATTTTGCTTTAAGCTTTGGGATGGATAGTTTCAATTTTAAATATTTTTGGGATTTTGGAATTTGTGGAGCTTTGGATTTTGGGGATTTTTGAATTTTTGTGGATATTTGGGTGGAGCTTTGAAATATTTGGGAACCCCTCCTGTTGAGATCTGAATTCAACACGGCCATCATTGGGGTGTTTGGGGGTCATTTCTCTTTTGTGGATTGAACCTTGTCAACTCTGTCAGGCTGTTGATAGAGGATCGGGTTTCGTAGGCTTCGTGCATTTATTAGTTAATTCATATTGTTGTAGGCCTTGAAGGCCTAATATGAATGTTTTAAAGCAAATATACTGGTCACCACAACTTTATATTTGCTTAATGGTACGAACCCTGTCGACTTCTATTGACCACCCGTATAAAAGGGTCGGTTTCGAACCTGAATTCACTTGTCAACCCGCGCAGCATCCCTAGACGTCACGTGTGTACCAATAACACGCTCGCCGGGGCCCATGCGGGTTTGGATTACATTTTCCCCTTTTAGTGTGCCTATGTGTATACAAACTATTGTGCACGTGCGGGGGGGTATTCTTGGAATATACGCCTTCTGTCTGCTTGTACGAATGTTGCAGATCCGGTGGCGTGAAATAGCAGCTTATGGATAGAATTGTTCGCTGCTTCTTACAGGTAGACTGTCGTGCACTATTTGTTGATTTTCTGTAGGTAGCTCGTAGTCCACTAACTAATCTTCTGCCTTTGTTGTAGATGCATTTATTATGGGTTGAATATGTTTGCCCAAATAAAATTCATGCCAAAGCTTGTAGTGAATTTGTGCACGAATCCTTTGTTTAGATGAGATTTGGATAGGTTTTCCACCTTAATCTTGAGCTTGTTTCTTATAATTCATTCAAGTCGGATTCTTTATGACTCATTGAAGTCCATATTAAGTCTCTTTGCATTTGTTCACTTGTATTCAAATTATGACAATCTCCTTTGCATTTTCTTGAATATGAGTCTGAGTAATCCAAGTTCCAATTGTTCAAATCTTGTTCAAATCAAGTACAGGATTTATCATTTAAAATTTGTTCGTGCTCAAGCCCAACATGAGTTCAAGTTCTAGTCCAAAAGGAATCCTCTGCGTTCATTCATGTCAAAGTGCTTTGCACTTAACTCATTTAAATTCAAAATTTTTATTTATTACTTATTTATGCTCAAATTCATAGGTCATATGTTCAATGTTATTTTATTAAAGTCCATTTGAGTCCAAAATGAGTCCACAGATGTCCAAATAATGTCCAAATCCTTGTCTTTTTCAGACAAAATTTCGGCAGCCTCCCGGCGTCTCCCCCGTTAAGGGGAAAAATCAAGAGGCCGCCTACCCGTCACGTCAATAAAGACGTGCACGGTTGGTGTTGGTGAGACACTGCGGCGGTTGTATTTTTGTTTTCTCCCACCACGCGCAATAAAGGCGTGCATGGGGTTTTATAAAAAAGCATTTTTGATAAGCAATTTTGATTTCCCCCGCCCAGGGTACTTAATAAGCGACCCCGCTTCGCCGTATGTGCCGCACCAGGGTCCCATCCCACCACGCGCAATAAAGGCGTGCATGGGGCGGTTCTCCGGTTTGCCACGAACATTGAAGCAAGGTTTTGAGTTTAGAAGAGTACGTACCTTTGCGGAGTTGTTGTGGTTGACACATGGATCGAGGTGTCACTCGCCTACCTCGTCGTAGGTGTTGCACCGGGTTCCCTTCTACCACGGCCAATAAAGGCGTGCTTAGGTGGTTTGTCGGTCCGACACGGACATCGAGGAAAGAGAGTGGAGGGATTATTTTTATTTTATTAATTAGAATCAATTATAATTAGATTTAAATAATTATAATCAATTAATAATTAATCATAATTAAAGATAATTAACCATAATTAAGCTAAATTAATTATGGTTAGACTATAATTAATAATAATTAATTATAATAAAAAATAATTAATTATTATTAGATTTTGTTAATTATGATTAGTTTATAATTAAATAATAATTAATTATGTTAAAAAATTAAACATAATTAAATTTAATTAATTATGATTAATTTATGATTAATAATAACTAATTATTATATACAAAAATAAGTTAATCATAATTATACCTAATTAATTAAAATTAATTTGGAATTAATTATTAATCATAATTAAATCTAATTAAACATAATTAATTTTAATTAATTATGATTAATAGGTATTAATTATAATTAACATAATTAATTGAAATTAAATTTAATTAATTACTACTAATTTATAATTAAAACTAATTAATTAAAAAAAAAAGTAAAGCCCATAGGGTTGCTCGGCAACGGGATTTGGCCGAAAGAAGCATGTGAAAGGTAGATGTTACCTTCACAGCCAGTGAGTTCCTGTGTTGTTTCCGCTCAAAATGTCGTAACTTCCGATCCTACAGATAGGGAATGTCGTCGAATGAGCAAAGTCGAACGGCACAGAGGAGTCGGGCAGAGGCTTGGGCGGCTCTGGTCGCTGGGCTTTAGAGGGATCGGGTAAGGGAACTTCTTTTCTCTCTCTCTCTCTCTCTCTCTCTCTCTCTCTCTTTCTGCTTGGGGTCGGCACAGGAAGAAGTGGAGTTCGGAGGAGAGGAGGGATTGGAGGGGTTTGCGTGAGAGCTGGAGTCGGGCAGAGGTAGGAGGAGGCGTCGGCTACGGGAAATAGAGGAAGAGGTTCGGTCGGCTAAGGCAGAGAGGAGAAATATCGTGGGAGAGGGAGGAGATCGCGTTGTGTGTGGAGTCGAGCGTGTTGAGCAGCCGAAGAGGTGAGGCCTCTCTCCCATTTTAACGACGCAAATGAGCGGGAGTTTCGCATACGGGAGAAAAGACGTGAGTTCGGCGCCGCTGCAGAGGGATGGGCAACTGTAGCAAAGCAGGATTTGCGATCATTTTGCCAGGATATCCGGCAGAGGTAATGATTTTTTTGCATTTTTTTATTTCTTTTGTTTTGTTTCTGCTTGGCTGTAGATTATAGGTCAACAGCCTTTTAATTTCTAAATCTTTCTTTTATTTGAAATGTAAGAGTTTGTTCGTCTTATTACGAGCTTGTAGTCGTTTGTCTTCGTTTTGTGGGCGGAGGTCCTCGGGTCCCCCATCCCCCGGATTTTTGCCCGCATCAGCCACGAAACTGTCAGCCCCGCCGCCTGAAGGCCTTGCCCGTGCCTCTCGCTTCTCCTTCGCTCTCTCCTCCGTTCGGCCGAACAAAATGAAGAAAAGATCGAAAGTTTCAGTCACCTAAGCTATTTGGGCTGTTGGGGAAAGCCAAAAGACACATGCGCCCTTGCATGCTTAAGTTCTTTCTAGAAAATGATGGGCTATTTAATAATTTGCCTTTAAGTAAACTTTACCGATTTTTAATTTTAAATCTATACTAAATTAACCCTTAGTCCTTTATACCAAATCAATCGAACTTCAATATAGAATTTTATAAAATTTGTTTCGTTGAATTTTGACAACTTTGAAAATTCATCTATTTTTATTGCGGGGCACCGCAACGCTTCGAGACGCTACGATTCAATATTTTCGGGTTTTGCATTTAGTAGCCTTATTTTCTTGTACGAAGTTTAAAGTTCTCATCATCATAATTGTGCCCTAATCAATATTTGAATTAAACACCAACTAATTTTGCTAGTAAATATTTTAATTAAGTATGATGTGTTCTAGTAGCCTAATCAACGTCTAAGTTAACCCTAAATAGTCTTATTAAACTAGTAATTGTTTTATTAGCCTATTTTCTGTAGTCAATTATATGATTAAGTAAATATCCAGACTGACATTTATTTAGTTTATTTCAGTCAATGTTTTTGCCTCTCTATCTTCGAAGTTATGTTTTTAACCGAGGTCATTTTTTATGATGCCATTTTTTTCAATTTATTTATTTTTTTTTAATTTTGAAATTATGTTCACGCAGAATGTCAAGCTTGAGCAAGTCCTCATGCCAGGATTAAGAGTGACTGTCGCAATGGGAGCTGGCCGGAACATAGAAACAGGTAGAAACCATTGTTCAGTTCAACCTTATAACTAAGTGTATCTTGCGAATTGTTTCCATTTCTTTCTAAGACTTTGCTTTTCACTTATGTATTTAATGGAATTCTCAAAGTTTATACTCTCTGCAAGCACATAAAAATGAACATTGTGGTAAGCATTCTGATTTTGAGTTGGATTTTCTTTCTTTAGTTTAATTTGTTAAAAACATGTTTATGATGATGATCTTTTGGAGAATAATTTTTATTTTCCAATGTTTTGATTACCTCTTTATGCTTGATTTACTGCTATATGTCAATTCAATTCAACTCTTTAATTTCTTCGCTCAAACATTTCCAATTCACTGGTTCAGCACAAAGTCAATCCTATATTGTCTAACCACTGATTTGGAAATCTACTATTTTGATGACAAGACACTATAGTTGGATCTGGAATTGCCTATAGGTATTTTGCGTGATTCCCTATTCATGTTTTTTCTCCTTCTGCAGCTTCCATTCTTCATGGAACTGTGGCTTTAGTCAGCCGCATTCCATTTATGAGCCATCTGCGAGCACTGTAGCTATTTTTGCTTTTTTCCCTTCCATCTATGGCGTTTTAGTTTGTTCAATTATTTTTCTTGGTAATCTACTGTAGTAAAAAAATAGTCACTTAAAAAGTATATAAAATTAAAACAATTTAGAAATATCAAGTCACTTAACTATGATTTTTGCTTAAAATGAGTAATATTAGGATGTCGAGAGTGAGGTGTCGACGCCGTGTATCAGGCATTGAGAGAGGAGACGATAATACTGTCAAGAGTCAGACATCGATGTCATTCAATAAGTATCGGGTTTCAATGTCAAGAGGGCGTCTATCGTCAATGTTGAGAGGGTGTTGGTCATCAATATTAAGAAGATGTTGGACAAAGATGAGCTGTCAAGTTGTGGGTGTAGAAATTGCTAGCGTTGTGCATCAATGTCAAGACAGTGTCAGACTTTGATATTGAGATGATTTTGAGATGTCGATGTTCTAACGACATTAGACGTCAATGTTGAGATAACATTGGACATTGTTGTGAAATCAAAGTTGTGATCTGCCAAAGAAATGAAAATGAGAATATTCGATGAATGGGGTATTGAGTCCGGGTGATTGATTTGATTTTGTGGATAAGAAATAAAAAATTTAGCTTTTATATTTTAAACAAAAAAAAATTGAAATTCAAGAAATTATTTAAAAAAAAAATTCACAAATTTTTTAAGACATGCGTGTCCAATTTGTATTTAATATTTTTTAATCGGTTAGGTTTTTGACATCTTCGAGACATGTCAGAGGAGTTTCAGATGCGTGTCATGTCGGATACGTGTCAGACACTGCATGACTCTTTGAGGAGAAGTGTCGGTGCATCATAGATTAGAAAGAATAAATTAATGAATTATTGTATTAGAGAAATTATTTGAGTTGCATTTATTGAATGTATTGTAATTAAAAATAGGTAGGGGTGTTTTGAACATGTATGATGAAGGATGTAAAATGTATCTATTAGACGGGTGGATAAAATTAATATTGGTGGATTATAAAAGAGAAGTGATAGATATAAGTTAAGAGATAATATGTATAGAAGTTGTTTCAAATGTGCCAAGAATATACAAGATAGTTGGAAATAGTAGAAGATGAAGATTCATAAAGCTGATTTGAATAATGCTGCAATGATGATGATGATGAAGATGATTATGATCTCCTTAAGGAATAGGGGCCCTAGGGCTAGAAGCCAGGCTATCTTACAGCAGATTTTAGGTTGTATCAATACTGAATGATTCATGTTTTTCCTTGTCTTAGTTTAAAAGGCATGCAAGGGATGCTTAATTACATGTTCATCGAATGAGCTCCCCACTCATTGTTGTGAAGCCATAGGTTTATGCACTGAGATCATCTCAAAAATGTAGTTGGCATTTTCTGTTAATCATTTACTAAATTCTCACTTCATTTTAATGTGTAGAATAGATGTGACAATGTTATTACTTTTTGTCTAGATAGTTTGAAGAAGGTTGTTGGACAAAATAGTCCAAGGGAAGAAATGGGAATTTATTGGGGCTATAAGGTCCGATATGCCCCAAACTTCAGTTCAGTTTTCAAGAGTTGCCCATACAAGGTAAGTGGAATTCTTTTTATTTACATAGAATTTTCATGATAATCACTTCTGATTATCTTTTCATAATTCTAAAAATATTGCATTTCTCAGGACAGCTATGATTGTATTGTTGGAACTTCAGAGCATGGTGCAGTTATCAATTCATCAGAGCTTTGCTTGCCTAAGTTTCAGTAGTCTTTCTTACCGAAGTTTTTGTTTCATTTTTTTTCCATCACTATTTCTTTTATTGACCTTCTGTTTCTTCTAATCGTCTTTCAGCTATAAGTATGCTCCAAAACTTAGTAATCCTTGTTATAACTCAGTATTACACTTCACTTGGCATGATCTTACTAGACATAACCTAATTGACTTCGTTGTAATTATTCACACCTTTTCCATTCAAACTGATTCCAGTCCTCTTGAACTCTAACTTTAGTTTTTTTACATAAATTAATTTCTTTTTGCTTGATCGTGTATCTCTAAAACAGTTAGATTTAATGGAGAATTTGACTCTTAATAGGACATAATGGAGAAAAAGGATTCATGTAGTTCACTCCACAGTGGGATGAAGGCTTGATGTTGTTGTTGTTGTGTATTTCTAAAATAGTTAGGTTTAAAATTTGTCACATAGAGGAGGTAAATCATAGCATCTAAGTGCTATAACCAACCTTGTTATAGTTGTATTTTAGAGCTACATCTGTTTAACTCTTATCCAAATAAAAAAAAAAAAAATCAAATTCTTCATTTTTATTGCTAGTTAAACCTGGTGATCTAAATCTCAACATGATCTTTTGGATCTTTCTTTCCAAATGATTCTCGTATTATGTCAATAAAACTATTCTAATGCCTCCACGTAAAGATCACAAATATTTTTTGAAATAATAAAATAATTCATCTAAGCAAACCGCAAACAACTCAACATAAAGCTAATAAAATAATTCATATAAGCAAACCGCAAACAACTTAACATAAAGCTTGAACCTTAACTAAGCCATGAGAATAAAGTGTCCCATCACCCAATTAAGGCGAAAAATGGGTAAGGCTTTAGGAATTCGTTTCCAATGAAATATAATAAAGATCATTGCAGCTTGTCGGTAAAATTTAAAATTATGAAAGGAAAAAATTTAACCATATGCATTTTATATATTTAAAAAAAAAATATTTATAAGAAAAATGATTCACCTATATTAAGCTCCTTATTTTTTTTTTTAACCTAAGTGATTCTTCTTAAAAAGTAGTGTTGCCTGGGCTAAAATTTATGCCAAAATACTCACTGAATGCACAACCAAATTACCACAACTCTTGTTTCTTGACTGAATAGAAAGCAAGGCCCAGCAAGCCATTTGATTGCATTATGCGAACGTTGCGGCCAAAAACTTCAGTACAAATAGCAGTACTCTTCATTAGAATAGTACAAGCATTAAAACAAAAGAAGTTATTTTTGTAGAAAGGCCTTAACCAGAAATCCACGTTTAGACTTGAAAAAATTGCCAAATTGTACAAAAAAGAAAAGCAACATAGAAAAGGAAAAGCATAAAAATGCAAAAAACTATTATAGAAAGCATCACCTTTTTTTAATCAAACTCAATTAAGAGCATCACATTTGAATAGACCTTTAGTCTATCTGCATAATTTACTGCTCACAAATTCTCTCATTATCACATCATTGAAAAACTCGAACAAATCACATAAATCGATTTTTGAACAAAATAAACATTGAAGATGAGAAGTTATAAACAATAATGAGAAGGCTGACATTAGGTTAATGTATAGGATCTCTTAGTAGAAATTATTTCAGTCAAGCAGACGTATATAGCATATAGTAAATGTTTGAGTTGAAATTTGAAGAGAACTCAACTATCAAAGAAGTGGAAGATTACGTTTTCAGGAAAGAACGATCATTCGATATTGAATAAACCATGAAAAGGCTTGCCATAACCATTACCTAAGAGCTGTGAATAAGGTTTCATTTAAAGCCATTTCTTCAACATACTGATCAGTGATTTTTTAAGTTAAATTGAACATCGGCTCTCTCTAGAAGTGGGAGATGAATGTAGTTTAGAGAAACCCGAATCTTTTTGCACATCTTCTCATGAAGAAATGATTGTTTAAACCCCACACGAGAGCCAAAATCCTTGCTCTGGAATCCTGCTCAAATCCCGGATGTACGTCATTTCTCGAAGTCTTGCTCAAATCCCGATTGTTCGGTGCCGCTCGCGTCCCTTTCCGCGATCCCTGCGACTCACCTCTATCAAACTACGCTCTCGTCAATAAAATGAGAACAAGCGGAGCCTTCTACTCCTCTTCGACACACAAAATTGCAAGCTTCCAAGCTGAATCATTGTCTCTACCTCCGATCGAAGCCAACCCAACCACCCGTCACACGATCCCTGCAACCAACATCCACCGACAACCCTCTATCCGACGCTTGCAACCGATTCCCACGTGAACAAGCCTCCAAACATGATCTCCCCTGCTCCAAGACTGGAGGCTCATTCTTTCCCAACCCAAGCCTTTCGACTCTTCCCCACCCCGGCCTCCCAATCAGCCTTTTGATGACCCGGTTAGGAAAGTTGATGTATTAGAGTTGACGTATGTTAAGGAATGTAGAGGTAAACCTAAAAAGACTTGGTCAGAAAATATTAGAAATGATCTTTCTTTATTAGATTTAAATGAGAATTTAACTCTTAACAGAATACAATGGAGAAAAATGATTCGTGTAGCCAACCCTAAATAGTGGGATAAATGCTTGATGTTGTTGTTGTTGTTTGTAGTAAATGCAGGTTTGCTGTTTGAATTAAGTCAAAAGGGGCATGAAAACTCAATGACTACAACTTGAAATTGAGAAATAGGCATTTCTACTTTCTAGTCCCCTTCATTTGATTTGATGAGAAAAAGTTCAAAATAGTCCCACGACTATTAGCAAGTGCATAATTTAGTTTTAGAATTACACATGGTACCAATTTAATTAAAAATTGATTCAGTTTTGTCCCTCTATTAAAAAATCTATCAAATTTAACAGAATATTTAGAAGGTCTGCCTCTTAACATAATTTGAGAGGGACATTTTGATAAAAAAGTTAAGTTCCTTTTTTAACAATGTCGCAGTTCATCTCATTCTGGAATTGTCCCGTGCAAAGGTTTTCTATATATTCTCAATAAAAATAGAAGATTTCATATTGTCTAGGAACCCACCAGTTTCTTTTGCCCACTGTCGTAATGCTGTAGATAAAATTCAAAGCAAACAAATGATCTGGCAGCGTGAAGCATGAAATTTGATGTTTGTTTTTCTAAATGGTAGAAAGCTATTGTGGTCTAGTTCATCTTTCTTTAATTTGATGTTTGTTTTTCTAAATGGCAGAAAGTCATTGTGGTCTAGTTCATCTTTCTTTTTATTTTCACTTGATAAATTAAAACTGCCCTTTTCCAGGCATCTACTGATTGCATTTGGTGGCCTTGGAGGTCTTGAGGAGAGCATTGAAGAAGACGATGATCTAAAGGTAAAAGGATAACAAAAAAAAAAAAAAAGTTCGGGAGAGAGCGATCGTGTGAGCTTTTCATCTGTCAGTGGATTATTTAATCAATTTCTTAAAGTTCTGTTGCTTATTTGTTTGCTTTTTGCGAAGATTTAGGTTTGTGTTTTTTTTTATTATGAGAAGACATTAATTAGATGATATTTCACATGCTTTGGTCATGCACAATAATTAGAATTAATTCCCTATTTATGCAAGCTTCTTGTTTTGAAAATGTAAGGTTAGAATAAAAAAAACTAGAAATTATTGCAAATGCTGTCAAATTCTCATTTAAATCTATTAAAAAAAATATCATTTCTAATACTTGCAAACCCAAGTCTTTTTAGGTATGCCTCTACCTTTCTAAATATAGGTCGGATCGAATACATCTACTCTCCTAACAGGGTGATCGGAAGGCCGTTGTTTTGAGTGACCAAGCCATCTAAGACGACTCTCTCTAACATTATCTGCCACTAGAGCCACTCCAAGTCTCCAACCTTTTCACATTCTGTCTCTTGATGGTAAAGTTACTAATCCACCTTAGCATCCTCATCTCTACAACATTTAACTTAATTTTGTGCTTCTCTTTTAATGGTCAACATTCTGCACCATAAATCTATGCAGGTCTCACCACCATCTTATAAAAATTTTCTCTAAGTTTGAGGGGTACTTTTTAATCACACAACAAACTCGATGCATTCTTCAGTTTCAACATTCTAGTTTGAATTTTACTAATAACATCCCCATCTTTTTCATCATCGTTTTAAATAATAGACTCGAAATATCTAAACCGTGCACTCATTTTAATGACTTGATCACCTAATGTCACAATCCCACTACTAGATCTTTTACTACTAAAATTATACTATACATTCGGTTTTAGATCTACTTGGATGAAAACCTTTAGACTCTAAGGTTGATGTTATAATTCAAGTTTTTCATTATCTCTCTCTCTCTCTCTCTAGTTTTTTCAACAAGAAGAATATCATCATCAGAAAGCATACACCAAGGTACACCATCTTGCAAATGTCTTGTAAGAATATCCATGACTAAAGAAAAAAGATACGGGCTTAAAATTGATCATTGATGTAATCCAACTAAAATAGGAAAATATTTTGTCAAATCGCCTTGTGTTTGAACATAAATAAAAACTCTTGTATACATATCCTTAATGGTTGAATGCAAGTATTATTAACTCCTTTTCTAGAACTCTCCATAACGCTTCTATTCTATACTCCGTTACACTCCCCCATAATTCTAATGTTGACACATTAACTTAATTTTTTTATAATTCACATATTCTTATGCATCACTTTTATTCTTAAAATAAGAATAAATACATTTCTTTTCCATTTATATGACATAATTTTATTCTTCAAAATAATATTAAAAAGTTTAGGAAGCTAAGAAAATCCTTGACATGCTAGGAATTTTCACGTTTGTATTGGAATATTATTAGGTCCTATTGCTTTTCCACACTATTTTTTTTTAGAGAAAATGATCAAAATGGTCCTTTAACTCTTTATGAAAGACTAGTATGATCTCCAACTATATTCAAAGATTATTTTGTTCCCTCAACTCCTTGAAGAGGAATCAAAATAATCTCACCATGGGACTATTTTGATTCTTTTTTAAAGATTTGAGGAACCAAAATTGTCGTTTAATATAATCGAGGACTACTTTGATCATTCATTATGAGTCAAGGAACTATTTTGATCATTTTTCCTTTTTTTTAAACCACTCCAACTTTTGTTTTACTAAAATGATGATCGAAACAAATTTTTTTTTTTTATATAAGATATTAAGGTCACTAAAGTCAATCATGTTCTTTCAATCTTCATTAAAAAATTGAACAGAGCATCTCATCCATTTATATTGAATATCCTCTTCTACGAAATGTATTTTTTTATCTTCATTTTTAATGCACTTTACTTGAACTAAATCTTTACTTCTCCCATCTTTTTGCTTGACTAACTTATACATTACATTTAATCTATTATATAAATTAAGAAAAGTTAAATTTTTTGTATCATATATTGCTTTCTTAGAATCCATGTTGACTTTTTTTATATATTTTCCATTTTTTTGAGCTTTTATATTTTAACTAATTTTTATAGTAAATATTTTTATTTTTGATCATTTCCTACCCATTTTGATTTCATCATTGACCATTTTTTTTGTTAGGAGCTTGTCCTTTTGATTCTCCAAGCATATTTTATAATATTCTTAATATCACTGGTTATATTTGTCATATAATATTAGCTTACTCATGAACAACTCAAATCTTTAGATCTTGAATCTTATTTTAATTTTTTTTATTAGCATTCTTTAAATACTCCATCTAATCTTTAGGATAATATTTTACTCTATTTTTCATTTTTCACACATCTTAAATTCAAAAACTAATAAGTGATGTTTTGTATGTAAACTTTCGCTTAAAATGGCTTCATAATCTATACAGTCTAAACGATCTAATTTTTTTGATAAGAAAATAATTAATTTGAATTTTATTATGTCCATTCTTTTAAGTGGTGAGATGATCATCTATTTTCTTAAATAAAGTATTCACAATCAGCAAATCAAAAGTTAAAGCAAAATATAATATGGTCCTGCTACCTTCGGTAGTTACTCCAAATCCATTGTCACCATGAATATTTTTAAAATCTTCAACCACTACCAACATTGACATGTAAATCTCCTCCAATAAAAATTCTTTCTTCAAGATTAGCATTTGTATTAATTCTTCAAGTCATTCTAAAATTTAATTTTTGAACTCATATTTAAACCTACTTGAGAAGCATATTAATAATCTTAATATTAATAATAATCTTTAAAGTTGTAATTTTATCTCAAAGTCTATTACTTTTAGAATATCATCCTTCAAACTTTTAGTTGTAATCACATCTACATCATTTCTAGTATCACTCTTGTTTGAATACCAAAGTTTAATCCTGAACTATTAATCTCATTTTGACTTTTTTCCAATCCATTTAGTTTCCTGAATACATAGAATATTTATCTTCCTATGAATTATTATATCTATTAATTTCATTAATTTTCTTGTAAAAATACATATATTACAAGTTTCTATTATAATTCTAGTTTCATGGACTAACTTCTTTGTCCACATTTATCCATGATATGAGAACCCTTGCTTATTTAACAATGCACCAAGATGTCGATGCAGCAGTCCTTGCACGATCTTTGCTGTATTCAGGCTATATAACCGTTGCTTCCAAGAAACGCCCTAGCATTTACAAAATGATATTAAAATATTTATGTCATGATTGCTCAATTAATTTTTATCATCGTTGTCGACTATCTATCTCAATTCTATACTTTTCTCATCCAGGATTTGGTTCCTGGCAATAGCAGTATTAACATTGGGCCACGAAGGTTTAATAATAATGTCTTAGTATATCCTGAAAATTTGAACCTGGCAAATCTGGCTTTTGATGACATTTCTTGATGCAGATTTCAGTTGTCGTTGACCTACTATATATCTGCAGTTTAAAGTACAGCCATACCAACCTTAAATCCTTTATAATTTAGTTTTCCTCTGCATCGTATAGCAATGGTTCTTTGCTTACGAATACAAATTTGATGTTTGATAGGATCTTGGTAGGTAATTTCCAGTTGCAACGGTAGCTTAGCTGAAGTTAGGTGATTGTAGCATCACACATAGCAGCATTACTTCAATGAAAGTCATCAATTCTACTCCTTTTTAATTTTGAAGCTTGAAATCTTGCTTTGAGTGGTTGGAAAAGGATTATCGAAGGTGCAGCACATGACAAGCGTATCACTCTAATCACTGGACAAGTACTGGGAGAATGCCCACAGGCTTATGTGGCCTCGGGTATCATAGTACAGTGGTTGTGCGGTTTGGGGTATCACAGCTATTTGAAACATGTATTTCATGTAACTAATTTAGTATTCAACAGCTTTTGATTATTTTAAATTTTTGTTTCGTGACTAAAATTTCATTCTTTGTCGTGCAAAAGATAAAAAAAGCAAATCTCAGTGGATTAAGGGTTCGTTTGGGACGGATTTCTGACTGCTTCTTAAATTAAATTTTTAATACAAAAATTAAAATTTTTGAACTAAAAAATTGCTTTAAGAAGCAGGTAGAGAGCAGTCCCAAAGGAAGCCTAAATCCTGAATCATCATCTGGCAAGAAGGATAAATTGTACAGAAATTATTCTGTGCGGACAATGGACGCCGGATGCCGTCTGGAGATCAACCAGAATGAGTCACGTCGGTACCGCGGCTCGGTACCGTGCTCAGTATTATGACGTGACTCATTTTGTTGAGTCTCCAGATGTAGAATTGCGTTCGGCGTCCGCACAGAATAATTTCTCCTATTTAAGAGTTTCATGTTGGTTAAAGCCCATGATAGCATTGAATTGCATCCAATTAACCCTAAATCTAGCAAATTTATGTTCTTCTGAAATTTCTTTTGTTCTACAATCAAACTAAATGCTTCTCAAGTCCACTTTTCACTATTTATCTTCAGCATGCACTATTTAATCATTTTTATATTATGATTATTTCTAACTCTATTCTTTTAATTTTATCACATGCATCATTTGCCCCGTAACTTGATTGTTAATAACTTTGTTTCTCAGCAAGATGAGTTCATGAATCAGGTAACAAAATGAACCAATGAACATCCAATGGTTCATTATTTTATTTCATCCAAAGATTTAGATGTATAGCCGACCCCACCTAGTGGGATTAAGTTTTCGTTTTGACAGCTTTTTTGTTGCTTTCTAAAACAGCTTTTAGTATATAAATTACTTGAATTAGAAAATTTTATAATAGAAAATCGTTTTAGGAAACAACATGAATGCTGTCTCAAACGAAGCATAAATGTTTGATATTGTTATTATTGTTATTGCAAAGATTTAGGTGTAGCAGGCATAGTTATTTACGTCTGATTGCGAAATTGGTTTGACTCGTCCATATATTTGGAAGATGATGTTTCTTACTTGCGGCAGCTTGATATTGTTATTATTGTTATTGCAAAGATTTAGGTGTAGCGGGCATAGTTATTTACGTCTGATTGCGAAATTGGTTTGACTCGTCCATATATTTGGAAGATGATGTTTCTTGTGGCAGCTTATGTTTTTTAACTCCATGTTTTTGACAGGGAAAGGGTGTTCATGAAATTTTTCATTCATATCTAAATACTTGTCCACATCAGGGAAGCAGAACCATTCGTACTGAGGTGATGACAATTTGCTGTTTGAACTAGAGTTTTCTAAGCTAAGGGAACATTATTTTTCCTCTATTTGATATGCAGGAAGCAATTTTTATATCGCTCCAATACTTTCAAGAACCTATAATACGAGCTGGTAGAGTATTTAAAGCGTAGTTTGTTGCTTGCTGGCCATGCTACTTAACCATAATTTATAAGGATTTTTGGTCTCTTCATTAAGATCACAAGCTGCATGTTAGGAAGAAGCAGAAAAAGTTATTTCATCCAGCAAGCTTCTCATTTTTTTGTGAGATTGTTTTTGTAACTCTATATGCGTATGCTCAGAAGTTTTGTTGCCTTTTGGCTGGACAAACTGAATATGACTGATATGAGGACTTGTTTAATTTGGCTCTTTAGTCATTAAATCTAGTGTAATTTTTTGGCATTTGGCAAGTTTAATGTTGAGCTGGACATGAAGAACAAATAAAGTTGAGGACTATCAAAAGCATCTACTTTGTATTTGTTATAATTGATTTTTTGCGAACATAAAATATGGGTTTTGTTTGAGATGATTTTCTTATTATTTTTGAAATTAAATTTTTAGTATATAAATTTTAATTTTGTATTAAAAAATAATTTTAAGAAGAGTAAGAAAGTCGTCCCTAACGAAACTTAGATTTCATGATTTAAAGTAAAATGATGGTGAAGTAATCTAAGTGATCCCAGTTATTAGATACCATATTCTCCAATTAGTCAGTCTTCTTTCTCAATCCCAGTATCGGCATTACTAATAATCCTCATTTAAGAAGTTAAAATTCATTATTTTCTCCTATAGTTATAATGATGAAGCTCATTAGTCATTATCTCAAAATGTTTTTTTTTTTTTTATTTGCTGGCTCTTATTTTTCTTAATCAAATTTCAGCCATAAAGGCCGCGACTTTATCTTGATTTTTGAGAGAATTTCAGCCTCATTCACTGTAAAGAAAACAAATAAAATATACTAAAAATACAATAAGTTTGAGGGGTGGTCCAAACTCAAATATATTTTTTTGTTGAATTTTAGGTCGAGCAAGTATTAAAACCCCCTTTCCAGCAACATTCATTTCTTTACATAGCACAAGATCAATTTAGCATTTTTTGAACTAGTTATCATCGCATAAAAATTTTGGAAATCAAATTTTGATAATGATGAATGTTGAAATAGTGAAATTTGATTCACTAATATAAATGTCATGTTCAAATGATGCAAAAGATGACTAAATCCTTAAGCATAAGACAGCATTAACAAGCCTGGGAACTTCCAAGAAACTAAAATAAGCTTGAAATCAAAGTCTTTACATCCGAATCTCCAAAAATGAACTAGAAGGGTGAAATTTTGCTTAGTCCATTGCAAATTAGCCACCACTATTCTTCATATAAATATTCCATTATAGGCTTTTAATCCTCATCATCTACATTAATCATTGGTTTGCATGCCACTTCGAAAATCCCTCAACAAGAGCCTCCTCCATCCATGGATGTCTACATTGCTCGGCGGCCTCGGGTATTGTGACCCAACTCCTCCGGCGAGTGCTCTGTTCTGGCCATGAGCAGAGTTCCTCTGTGACGAGCAATGGGAACATTGCAGCTTTGCATAATCCTTCTGGACTGAATTCATCCTGAAGACTTTTGCTTCGGAAATAATAATATCCCAAAAATTCCTGTGAAGATTACATGATGATTAGTTGGGCAGATTATTTTTAGCATCAGCAAAGATATTGAAAAATAGTATATGATCTCAATCCATCAAACCAACAATGAATCATAAATGTACAGTATATACTTAATCATAGCTTGGGCATTCAGCTTAAATAGTAGCTTTTTAGGCTTCGTTTGGGAAAGCTTTCTTATTGTTTCTTAAAGTAAATTTTTGTGCTAAAAAGCTGCTTTAAGAAACAATAAAAAATTGTCCCAAAACGGTTTTTTTAATGCTTCTTAAAGCAACTTTTTAGTAAAAAATTATAATTTTTATATTAGAAAGCTGTTTTAAGAAGCATGAAGAAAGCTGTCCCAAACGAAGCCTTAATCATTTGGATAAAGCATATTCTCATCAATTTTCGTTAGCATATTCAAGCTATATCCCGAATCATTAAAAAGTTCATTTATGAACCATCTGTTTTCTCTATGGAAAAGAAGTTAGAAGGATATACTTACTTTAAGTTCTCCTCTTACTCCGGCTTCCTCGAGGGCTTCGCGCAAAGCGGCCTCTTCAACAGTTTCATCGTTTTCCCAACCTCCCTGTAAATAAATAATCATATCCACAAATTAGGTATTGACTTGTCACATTGTAAAGACAGGATAGGCAAACCACTTATTACTGAACGTATTGGCAAGTTACTGCAATGGATAGCCCTTCAACACTGCAAAGGGGCAAAGAAGGGTTTTGGGAGGGAGCTTAAAGTAGCGAGTGTGAAATTCTCTTATTTGAGAAGGTGATTCTTCAGATGTAATAAGATGACTAACCTTAAATTGTTTGGGGAGTCCACATGATTTGGAATGATGAATTCCCACCTATCTCTATGTATTTTTGTTCTTTCATATTAATAAGAATCCTCTTCCTCCCTCCTATAAATTATACTTCGTTTTTTGGAGTATATCAAATTAATTTCACAGTGAGTATTTGCTCAATCTCAGCTCGAGTATTTCCAAAAGTGCCTGCGATGGAGGAGCTTTTCTTTTTGTGTGTGTGTGTCGGCTTTCAGGCCAATTAAGGCAAAACTTACCCACACATCGCATACGGAAGACTCAAACTCAAGACGTCTTAGTTGGTAGTCAAATCTCCCGACCAAAAAACCAAAAAGAATTGCGTAGGAGGCGCTTCTTCAAATATCAAACCTGAGCTGAGACACTTCAATAAAAAGGAGAATGATGAAGTATGCAGTGAATGCTAATCGTGCTTCCCAACCATCACTTACTAGTTACCATCCACCGGCTATTTTGGGTGCTTCTTCAAATATCAAACCCAACCATCACATAGATTGAATAATAATTGTTTAATTGCACTTTTTAAACACCAACTAACCCAATAATTATCTCATTTAATTAGCTAAAGAGCTCAAGCTTTCAATTCTACTTTTTTTTTTCTTTTTTGCTGATATCTATATCAGATAAAGTAACTGTAAGTTCAGGATATTGATTGTTGAGAATACATTTTCTAGGATACAAACTATACAAGGAAAAACATAACTGTAAAAGTTAAGAAGTCTTGTTTATTGTAGTTGTTTTGTTGACGCTTATGTACTTGGTTCTCTCCATCTAGAATCCATGTTAATAATATGCTTGAACCTTTTGTATTACATTTAGGGGCTATTTGGTTGGATTACATAAAGGTGTAATGTACTCCAAATGCACGGATTTTGAGAAATTTTAGTGTGTGATTGGATGAAAAAGGAATGCAAAGTAAAATAAATATAGTGTAAATTATTTTAGTTCATTTTTTAGGTAAACAAACTAGCCCAGTGTCCAGCGAGAATGGTTTACACCACAAGAAAGCTCGCTTGACTGCCACCAGCCGTTGTGAGCCACCACCGTTGGCCATCTCCATCTGCCTTTGGCCATCACCACTGGCCATCTCCTCTGCGGTCGCTGCCACCCTCCGACAACCTGTTGTCGACCGTCACCGTCATCGACCATAACCACAGTTGCCGCCATCCTCTAGCCACCACCGTCGACACCCGCCGCACACCACCACCACCGCCATCCCCTCCAGCCACCCACTGCTGGCCACCGCCCAACACCAACCTTCACCACCGCCTCCACCCGCCAATCTCCACCATCTTTAAATTTTGCACTATATTCACTTTACTTCAAACCAAACAAAAAAAAAATATTCGCATGAATTTACTTAAAACTCATCCAAACAACTCCAAAATATTTATTTTATATTGCATTTCATTGTTAGCCAACCAAACAACCGCTTAAGAAAATATATCCAATACAATAGTAGTAAATATTAGTTTATAATATAAAGGCGTTTTCTACTCACCAACATAACGTGGGATTCAACAAAATTTCCCTTTTTGAAGATAGCATAGAGTGATAAAAACCTTTTTTATCAAAAGCAAGAATTAATAAATGCAAAGGCCAAATGTTAAACTAAAGTTCATATATTTTGTATTGGTTATAAAGATGCTTAAAATATATATTTAAAGTGAGACGTTTTTGTGTATCTTACTTGTAAATCATATAGGTTTCATAGGGTAGATGAATTTTGAAGCTATAGTTTAGAGCTAAGGATAAAATTTAGAAATGGAACGGCTTAAGATAAGCAAAACGTAGAACAATGATAAAAGAAAACTTCAGTAAGATAAGAAATTAATCATAAGATCAAGCGATACCTAAGAGTAGTAAATTTCAATATTGTTAATCTATTATAAAAAGATACAAATAAGGGCACAATTTATAGTCGAAGCTATCTGACTAGAATAGTTAAGTGCTTTAGTAACAATAATCTAATAAACACATATCATATGGCCTAAAAATTAAAAAAAAATGTAATTAGGCCAAAAAACTTATACATTTTGGATTATTTGGGTAACCAACTTAAAAAAACATGATAGCTATATTGCATGTGAAAGAAAAGAAAATTCTTTAAAATGATCAAACTAAAGGTTGTAATAATGGAGTGTCAATACATTATAAGGACTACACAAGTATAAGCTGCAAAAGATAAGATGAAGACATATTTTGAGCATCTATGAAGAACAATAGAAGATGCATTAAGGCAAATAAAGAGAATTAGCGTAAGAGGATTATTAGAGAAAAATAATACATTAAAAATAACATTGCCAAAAGTTCAACAAAAAAAATAAAAGATCAAAAATATATTAACACCTTATGTAATACTCAAGAGGAATGGATGGAGGAGGATTCTAAACCCAACACTAAATACTTGGCTAAAAAAGAAAGAGGTTGCGATGTGGGCTCCCAAAGCAAATAACTAGCTAATCAAATCTGCAATAATAGTGTTGAAAAAGCACAAATATATCTTGCAAACGTCCCAATACATAAGACAATTCTTAGTTACACTCAAATCATTTTACTCTAATTTGTCTGGTAAATAGATTAAGTGCTAACTTATTAATTTCCTACAAGTTTATTTTCAAAATGACAAAATAGCATCCTAATGAAATTATGTACTGATGTAGGAACATGATGGACCGACCGATTCGATTGGAAATTAAGAAGTTTCCTAATCAAGAGAAAGTGTTTAGGAAGGTTCTTAATCAAAGGGGATTAATTAGGAGAAGATTTCTAAATGAAGAGAGTTGATTTGGGAGCAGATTTACAGGGGATTAATTAGGAAATATTTCTTAATTAAATAGGGCAAATTTGGGGGTTAATTTTGAGGGGTTTAATTAGAAAATGTTTACTAATTTAAGAGGGTAGATTTGATGGCTGATTTGGGAGAGAAATGATTAAGAAAATAGGAGGAAATTTGGGGTGGGCTGATTTGAGGGCAGATTTGGGGGCTAATTTGTTGTTTATTGTCTATTTTAAGTAAGCAATTTTCCTAGGGTTAGGGCTATGTGTCGTTTGCTGAATTTATATTGTTTTTAGAGTGTTTGGAATCTAGCTGGCGGCTAGAGATTTGGGAGAGCCAGATTGATAGGACTTGATGATCAAAACACACACAATATTAAAAAAATAATAACTTACTCCAAATAGATTCAGAAATAACAAAAAGAGAGCTATTTTTACTAATTACCAAATAAAGTAAAAGATAATACAAATTGATTCACTGTCCGAGAGGTGAATCGTCTCTCCCACAATTCTTAACATCTACTAGGAACTCAAACAACACACAAAAACGACTACATAAATTCAAAAACATAACAGAAAAACCCTAACCCTCCATAATCTCCTATTCTTAAACAGCTCAAATCCCCTAATAAATATCACTTACATCTTTCCCAAAGAGTTCCCCCCTTTCCCAAAAATTTTTCTCTCAAAGCCTCTTCTCCTATAGGGTATAAAGGAGGCTGAGCCCCACCTGGAAAATTGGGCTACTGCTATCAGTTGCATCAATACTGCCCTCACAAAAAGTCACCTTGTTCTCAAGGTGAAAAAAGGTAAATTACTTATGAATAGTACTTACTATAGGGCGCCCATATCTTCTTAACTCCTGAATATCCCCCAATAGTTGTGCCATGAAACTCCTGCAACAAATGAGATTATGTGTGGCGATTTTCTCGAAAGCACAAACAGTCCCTAGTATAGTAACCCATCAAAGAAAAACCAGGATGACTATCCTTGTCCTGCAGCAAGTCTCCTCTGATATTGCTCAACTCCTCATCCTGCTCGCTCTCATGCTTTAAGGCCTCCCAATCCACCACCATGGGAATAGATAGAGTCATAACCTGAGGGTCTTCACTACACCTGTAGAGAGCATATGCTGATTTATTTACTAGATCGGGCTTGTACTGGATCTCAAAGTCATAATCCAACAACTTAGAAAGCCATTGTTGATGCTCCTCTGTTACCATCCTCTGCTCTAACAGGAATTCAAACTTCTATAGTCGGTCCTTACTATGAAGTGTCGTCCCAATAGATAAGGTCACCACTTCTATATTGTGAACACTATCGTCACCAACTCCCTTTCATACACTGATTTCAACTTAGCCCTAGCGGTCAAAACATGGCTGAAATAAGCTATGGGTTTCTTGACTTTGCATAAGAACTGCTCCTAACCCATAACCTGATGCATCAATCTCCACTACAAACGACTAGATGAAATCTGGTAGTGCTAACACAGGGACACCCGTCATGACTTTCTTTAGCTGCTCAAATGCCTGGGCGGTTGTCACCCCTCATTTGAAACTATCATTCTTCAGTTGCTCTGTCAACGACCATGCTATAGAACTGTATCCCCTCACAAACTTCCTTTAGTGCCCTGTAAGTCCCAAGAACCCTCTCAACTCCTTCAAGGTTTTGGGTAAGAGCCACTCCAACATAGCCTTTATCTTACAAAGATTTGTAGTTACTCCTAACTTGGACACCAAATGTCCCAAATACTCCACCATCTACTATGCAAAGGAACACTTCTTCAAATTGGCATACAGTTGATGCTCTTACAATGTCACTAACACTACCCTCAAGTATTCAACATGCCTGCCTCATACCAACTATGCACTAAAATATTATCGAAGAAAACCAACACAAACTTGCGGAGGTAGGGCTGAAATACCTTGTTCATAAGCGACTGAAAGGTTGCTGGGGCGTTAGTAAGCCCAAAAGGC